CGCAGTCTTGCGCCTTTCCCGTTTATAAACCTTTAAAAGGATCCGATTAAATCAAAATTTTATTTTTTTGTGTTATTTCCTTTTGCGAAAAGGTGGCTTTTTATTTCCCTCGCCCCCCAAATTTTCGTTGGGGCCCAGGGTTTTTTAAAAAAGAACAATTGTAAAAAAACCCTAACCCCCGTCCAAAAAACCCCATCCCTTAAACCCTATCACAAACAAATTTTTGCCCCCTGGAATTCCGGGCCCCCCCCCCTTTCATTTTCTTTTTTTTTTATATTGAATGTGAGTACGGAGAAATTTTCCCGCTCCCATCGGGGTCGCACAAAGGTAATTTAAAAATAAATTGCTTGGGCGAATGGCCCGACAAAGTGCAAATTGGCCCTGAAATTTTGTTATTTAAAATATTGAACAATTTAAAAAGGCAAAGTGTTGTCCGTGATTAAAAACAGGTTGCCATTGAAAAAATTTCTTTCCCGGGGGTCGTTTGGGTTTCCCTTTTTTGTTGTGCATTGTAAGGGGTTTCCCCCCTCGTCTACTGTCGCTGACAATTCATCCCTTGTTCAATCAGCTGAGGCTAAACTCTTAGACTGATTAATCTATTTTCTTCATCCCATACAAATCTAGTCTATACAGTCCATGAAATTAGAAAGATTTGGTTAAATAAGATTTTTAGAGTAGATTATTAATTTGTGAAAGATCTTGCACGGATCCAACGGTTATTAGGTAAGATTTGATTAACTTTGTCACACTCAGAATACAATACCTCTTTTCTACTGTGAGGTGTCCTCAAAAAATTTTCAGTTCCATTTTGCTAAGTTACTAAAAATGTGACAAAATTAAGTTTTTCTACCCAACAATATAAATTGAATGTAATAAACAATTGGCATGTGGTTGCAATAGTGTTCATTGATCCGTAGTACGTAATATAGGGTATACCAATATTTGCTCAATTTCACACGTGTTGAGATATCATACAAAAATATGTAACAAACTTAACCTTTTTGTGCCTTCTGTGTTTTTAATTGCTTATAACAATGATATACGTTAAAATTTTAAGACATTCAGGTCATAAAATAATGTTAGACTATTCAACATTCCTTGTTAAAATTGCTATGGTGTTCTAAATAAGAAGAATTTAAACGATATCTTTTCACCTGATAAAGATATCGCTATGCGAAAAAGTTTGCCTAGAGGATGAGACGATTATCCTAATAATTGAGGGTTTATATAGTTTCAAAGTGTGACAATGTTAACTATACATCGTGCTATCCAATAGCAGTATTAAATCAGTATCCTAAATTTCGAATGAACGTGTCGGTATAATGCAACCCTGAAATATCTGTCAGGAATATGGCAGGAAATGAGACTGTAGAGTTTCGACACACTCAGAACAACAGAATAGCTATGGGTTGTATGCTCGGACTTATCTGTATCATCACTATCATCGGTAGGTAACCAGGTAACCAGGTAACCAGGTAACCAGGTAACCAGGTAACCAGGTAACCAGGTAACCAGGTAACCAGGTAACCAGGTAACCAGGTAACCAGGTAACCAGGTAACCAGGTAACCAGGTAACCAGGTAACCAGGTAACCAGGTAACCAGGTAACCAGGTAACCAGGTAACCAGGTAACCAGGTAACCAGGTAACCAGGTAACCAGGTAACCAGGTAACCAGGTAACCAGGTAACCAGGTAACCAGGTAACCAGGTAACCAGGTAACCAGGTAACCAGGTAACCAGGTAACCAGGTAACCAGGTAACCAGGTAACCAGGTAACGCTTCTCCACAGGTAACTGTCTCGTGTTATTGGCGATCTCAACGTGTAGACACCTGCGGAGTATCAGCAACCTGTTTATCTGGAATCTGGCGCTGGTCGACTTCATTATTGGGATCTGCACAATGCCCATCACAGTGGTAAATAGTTCATTTAGTTCTTTTGTTTGTGAGACTTACTTACTTGGAGACAGTGCTTCCAATTTGTTATAACCTGTATCTCTGTGTATATCTGCTTATCTGCCTCCGCTACTAACTGACTAACTGAGTAACTAGTGGCGAGGTTCTTAATTAGATAAAACATACAATACTACTATTACTACTATTATACTACTACTATTACTACTACTATACTATACAATACTACTATTACTACTACTATACTATACAATACTACTATTACTACTATTATACTCTTATACTATACAATACTACTATTACTACTACTATACTATACAATACTACTATTACTACTACTATCTTCGTAGTGGACGTTTACTGGTACTACTATATATCCACAGTGGACGTTAAGTCTGAACAGATGGCAGCTCGGACAGGCTGGGTGTTTGGTTACTGCAACAATTGATAACTTGGCTATAGCTTGCAGGTAACCTAGCAACAATTGATAACTTGGCTATAGCTTGCAGGTAACCTAGTAACAATTGATAACTTGGCTATAGCTTGCAGGTAACCTAGCAACAATTGACAACTTGGCTATAGCTTGCAGGTAACCTAGTAACAATTGATAACTTGGCTATAGCTTGCAGGTAACCTAGCAACAATTGACAACTTGGCTATAGCTTGCAGGTAACCTAGTATCAATTGATAACTTGGCTATAGCTTGCAGGTAACCTAGTAACAATTGATAACTTGGCTATAGCTTGCAGGTAACATAGCAACAATTGATAACTTGGCTATAGCTTGCAGGTAACCTAGCAACAATTGATAACTTGGCTATAGCTTGCAGGTAACCTAGCAACAATTGATAACTTGGCTATAGCTTGCAGGTAACCTAGCAACAATTGATAACTTGGCTATAGCTTGCAGGTAACCTAGCAACAATTGATAACTTGGCTATAGCTTGCAGGTAACCTAGCAACAATTGATAACTTGGCTATAGCTTGCAGGTAACCTAGCAACAATTGATAATTTGGCTATAGCTTGCAGGTAACCTAGTAACAATTAATAATTTGGCTATAGCTTGCAGGTAACCTAGCAACAATTGATAATTTGGCTATAGCTTGCAGGTAACCTAGTAACCAGTCAAAAACCTTGTTACTGGTTAGTTACTTACAATCACTATGTTATTACCATGGTAGCTTACTGAATACAGTTAGATATGGAGAACTTAGAGCAGCAAATTATTGAATGTTTTACCCTCAGTTTGTGGACACTGGCAGCCTCCGCAGTTGACCGGTGTTTTGCGATACTCCGCCCCTTTAAATACAACAGATTAATGAACAAGAACAAAGCCAGGTGCATGTTGGGGGCGGTATGGTTACTGTCTCTAGGACTTGCTCTCTGTCCTGTCATAGGTACTGTTACAGTGTTACCTAGCAACGTTCCCTTACTTAGCAACCCACAGTCTTTAAACTTGTAACCTAGCAACTATAGCTAGTTACTAGCTAAAAAACCTAGCAACCAGGTATGTACCAACTGCTAACTAAATAAAACTAAATAAAACTGTAAACATTAAAACGGCTTCCCTCAGGTTGGGACAGCTATGTTTACTCTTGGTTCAGTTTTAGTTGTGGAATTAACCCAGCAGCTCAAGGCCGAGATAGGTAGTAACCTAGCAACCTATATACTTAGCAACCTATATACCTAGCATCTTGCTTAGTGATAGACTGAGAGATACAAAACAAGTTGTTGAAGTTTATAAATAACACAATATGTTTTATCACTGTGAATATAACACTACTAGGCTAGTACTACTAGAGTACTAGGGGGAGTACTACACTATAACACTACTTCCCAGTTAATACAGCTATAATAACAGTGTACAACTGTCAGGTACTTCTTCTTGTTCTACACCCTACTAGCGCTGATAATGCCACTGGTAGTAGTTGTAGCCTGCTACATTCCCATCTACATAGTCTCCCGCCGTGCTAACAAGGTGAGAACTTAACCAGGTAACCAGGTAACCAGATAACCAGGTAACCAGGTAACCAGGTGACCAGGTAATCAGGTGACCAAGTAACCAGGTGACCAGGTAACCAGGTAACCAGGTAACCAGGTAACCAGGTGACCAGGTAACCAGGTAACCAGGTAACCAGGTGACCAGGTAACCAGGTAACCAGGTAACCAGGTAACCAGGTATCCAGGTAACCAGGTAACCAGGTAACCAGGTATCCAGGTAACCAGGTGACCAGGTAATCAGGTGACCAGGTGACCAGGTGACCAGGTGACCAGGTAACCAGGTAACCAGGTAACCAGGTAACCAGGTATCCAGGTGACCAGGTAACCAGGTAACCAGGTAACCAGGTAACCAGGTAACCAGGTATCCAGGTAACCAGGTAACCAGGTAACCAGGTGACCAGGTAACCAGGTAACCAGGTAACCAGGTAACCAGGTATCCAGGTGACCAGGTGACCAGGTAACCAGGTGACCAGGTGACCAGGTGACCAGGTAACCAGGTGACCAGGTAACCAGGTAACCAGGTAACCAGGTAACCAGGTAACCAGGTAACCAGGTAACCAGGTAACCAGGTAACCAGGTAACCAGCTAACCAGGTAACCAGGTAACCAGGTAACCATGTAACCAGGTAACCAGGTAACCAGGTGACCAGGTAACCAGGTAACCAGGTGACCAGGTAACCAGGTAACCAGGTAACCAGGTAACCAGGAAACCAGGTAACCAGGTAACCAGGTAACCAGGTAATTCCGCAGATACACGCCTCTCAGACACAGCCAGGTCACTCCAAACGACAGATGCAGGCAGCGTTCCTAGTGATAATAATAGTGAGCGTGTTCACTCTAACTACCCTCCCCATCATGACTGTGGGTATGTTGAACTGGCTGAGAGTTATTGACTCTATTCCTCTCCTCGCTGCTATCGTGTTCCATATTATGCTCTACTCCAACTCAGCTCTCAACCCTATCTTGTATGGGGTCTTCAATACTAGTTTTAGGTGAGTAACCAGGTAACCAGGTAACCAGGCTCGAAATTGCTTGAAAGTAATGGACTTTGTTCAGGGAGGTGTATAAAAGTAATGGACTTTGTTCAGGGAGGTGTATAAAAGTATGCTGAACTGTGAGTGGGGGGAAAAGAGACGGACACTAATGGCGAGACGTCGAGCTAGCAGCCTCAGGTACAGTTTCCGTGACAACAGTTTCCGGAGCTGAAATTCAACATCTAGCGTCATTTAGCGTCATCTAGCGTCATTTAGCGTCATCTAGCGTCATCTAGCGTCATATAGCGTCATGTAGCGTCATCTAGCGTCATCTAGCGTCATCTAGCGTCATTTAGCGTCATCTAGCGTCATCTAGCGTCATTTAGCGTCATCTAGCGTCATCTAGCGTCATTTAGCGTCATTTAGCGTCATTTAGCGTCATCTAGCGTCATCTAGCGTCATTTAGCGTCATCTAGCGTCATCTAGCGTCATATAGCGTCATGTAGCGTCATGTAGCGTAATCTAGCGTCATTTAGCGTCATTTAGCGTCATCTAGCGTCATCTAGCGTGAAATGACGCTAGATGACGTGAAATGACGCTAGATGACGCTAGATGACGCTAAATGACGCTAGATGACTCTAGATGTCGAATTTCAACAATCGGTAAAGGTTCCAGTTTCCATGATAGCATGATATGGATATTTACAATCTCAATTTGAGTCCAAATCACCAATATGTATATTTGTATTGGATATGATCTTTCTATCTTTCGGTAAAGTCTACATTACTCAGGGACCCCTCGTTTGTAAGCAATTGTAAAAGGAAAGATAAGCTGACTGAGAGGTAAGTTATAAGAATATTGTAACAATATCATTACCATGGTTACTAGAGTAACTTTACCACTCTAGCTCTAACCCTAACACGTCTCTAGGTTCTGAACCGTTCGTGGCCCAGATGCCAAAATTATCCAAAATTGCCTTTCTTTGCAAAGATTTCCAAAATTAATGTATAAAATGTATAACTTTGTTTTGCAAATAACCTTGTTTTACTGGCGAACAGTTGACAACAAAATTTTGATTTACCACTATATATAATTCTTAAATATCAACAAAATATAACTGCTTCGGAATATATAGGCTTCAATACAACAGTTTGTACAGCAGTAAACTAATAATTTAATTCCATTCAGGCGGATGTTTTCATTAAAACGAACATCGAGCAAAGAGCAGAACAGACGAAGTGTGCTAACCCTTCCGATACAAGAAGAGAGTAGACCTCCCAGTACTAACGGGAGTATGCTGTAAAACTACCATATAAGGTTATGTTACCATGACAACACTACCATATAAGGTTATGTTACCATGACAACATAGTATTAACTACGATGCAGAAAGTAGATCTTCCTTTACTGATGTGAGATACAAGTCTGAGAACCTGTAAGGGGCCTCCTGATGAGGTTAACATTTCTCATTAGTAATGAGTTGTAGTAGTAATTAGTAATGATACCAGGACTTTAAAACAATAAGACTTTTCTCGTGTTTTGAAACAAACAATCGATAATTCATGGACTGTGAACCTCATGTAGAAAATCTTATTTTATGTCTATTCAAATTGATGCTTCTGTTATCAACGGAAATTCAAATTACATAACGTTATTTTTAACATCAAAATCAATGTTTCCCGCAATCAAAGAACGAATGAGTTCTAAAAATTTCCAACAAAATCTTTACAGCATCGGTAAAATATTTTCGCCCATCCTCAGTACCTATAAAGATAATATGAGGTTAAAACTCCAATAAAAATTTAAACCATGAAACTTTTAACATGTTTGAGTAAAAAATTATAAAGTTATAGCACAACACAAAACTGGGATATAAAGCTTAAATATAAAATATTATATTTAATAAAACACCCTCATTTTTAGAAAATAATCACTACAATCAATATCAATAGCATGTGACAAACACGGATCATCAAATCTTTGATGTACGTGACAACTTGTTTTGGTAATTTGTCGATGAAAGAATTTAATTTCCTCCTCGCTTGCGTTGTGCCAAGTAATAGTTAATTTGTGCTGATGTGATTGTTCATCAGCACAAATACACGTTATACACACATCATATTTATAGTAATTGTTTGTAGTAATGAGTGTGTGTGTCAATATACCATGTACACTTTCTGATTAACAGTATTAACGATATATTTGTTTGTTTCACTGTATTTTGCAATGTGAATCTGTTTATTGAGACAAAACTAGTTAAAGATGGAATTCTGTGTTTAAATTTTTTGATATAATGTACATTCAACTTTTCAAAGAGTAAGAATGATACAATTTTACAAAATAAATGCATTGCTACGAGAATATTTATCAATGTTAGTTTATTCACCAAAATAATAAATCAATAGTTCTGGAGTGTTATAAAGTTGTTGTAAACAAGTTTATTTAATCTTTTTATATCCTTTAAGCGTTTCGATCGTTGCTTGGAGTGCGGACGTACAGCTCCGTTAGAATTGCCGGCTCTTGTTTTAATATACTGGTAATCTGGTAACCTGGTAACCTGGTAACCTGGTTACCTGGTTACCTGGTTACCTGGTTACCTGGTTACCTGGTTACCTGGTTACCTGGTTACATTGACTAGAGTCTAGACCATATTTACGAGAGATTAGTATCGTTTATTTCATTTTATATTTCAAAATGATCCTAAAGATACAAACAATTCATGCAGCAATTTACTTAATACTGAAGTGCTCAACTGGATATAGGACACGTGATGCCCATATAAGGATATAAGACACGTGATGCCCATATAAGGATATAAGACAATTTTAGTGCTGCAATCATTTGATGTTCAAAATTTGGAAGGGTTAAAATGATCACGGTGATCATATCACGGTTAAAGTTATGCACGTTTTTTTATTTTATTGAAATCTTTTAAATCAATCAATTACTATACATACAAATTACACAATGGAATAAGCTACAAAATATACCTTGAGAGAAAGTGTAAATTTGCAAGCTAATTTACTATGCAAAATACTTAAAATGTATGTAATCAAATGACTTGTGGGTCACCAAAACACAAATATCGAGTGCAGATGCAACTCCTGTACAAGCATCAAGCATGGGCCCACCCAAAATCAGAATATACCCCACAATAAATTACTAATCAAGTTAACCATCAATAAAATAAATTACCAATCCAGTCAATTAACAATCAAATCTTATGATATTTATTATTATTATTAAGAAACTGTTTCAAAACCCCTAAAAGAAATCAAGTCATCCTAAAATGGTGATCAGTACAGATCAATACAGCTAGAGTTAAAATTTGTTTCTCCAAGCAACTCTATCATCGGCTAATATCTTAAGCTTATTAAGATCATGGATGATATTTATGAATTATGAAAATAATGGAATGAGATGAGATGAAATGCAGCTAAAATTTTTAAGTTTAGTACAAAATGTTTTGTTTTGCAAATTATAGTCATGTAAGATGGTTTAAACGACCAACGGACCAAATGTTCAGTGAACGCCTTTGTGAGGTAATAACTACAATTAATAGTAGTACTGTGAATATCTAAGAAGCTGGTAAGTGTAAGTTCATAGTTTTAAACGCTTTGTCCCACGTAAAGCTCTGTTCTCTAATAATCATCCTTTGAAACTGCACCCGAAACAAATTATCCGGTAAGATATTTAGGGTTTCGTGAAAAGGTGTCCTAATGATAACCTATTTAAAGCAAGGCTTGTTGAAATGGCAACAACTGTCCGAATATGTTTTTTGACGTATGTCGATTGTCGGGGGTTTATAAATAAAGTGTTTATAAGTAAAGAGTTCATAAGTAAAGTTTACTTATAAACACTTAACTTATAAACACTTTACTTATAAACACTTTACTTATAAACACTTAACTTATAAACACCTTAATTATAAACACTTTACTTATAAACACTTTACTTATAAACGCCTTACTTATAAACGCCTTACTTATATAAAGTAAAGTGTTTATAAGTTAAGTGTTTATAAGTAAGGTGTTTATAAGTAAGGTGTTTATAAGTAAAGTGTTTATAAGTAAAGTGTTTATAAGTAAAGTGTTTATAAGTAAGGTGTTTATAAGTAAAGTTTTTATAAGTAAGGTGTTTATAAGTAAGGTGTTTATAAGTAAAGTGTTTATAAGTAAAGTGTTTATAAGTAAAGTGTTTATAAGTAAAGTGTTTATAAGTAAAGTGTTTATAAGTAAAGTGTTTATAAGTAAAGTGTTTATAAGTAAAGTGTTTATAAGTAAAGTGTTTATAAGTAAGGTGTTTATAAGTAAGGTGTTTATAAGTAAAGTGATGACATGTTCTTAAATAATCGGAACCATCAGAAGTAGAACATATTTCCCATTATTATTTCGTTTTCAATAGCCTCTTATGACACATCTCATGTATTAATATTTGCCATGCTCTATGACTCTATTTAGCCTTCAATATTGTGTTGAGAGCACTGAGCATGTGATCTATATTTGGAGTGAAATAAGTACTCATGTAATACGTATAAAATCATCGTTAACTGAAACTACGAAACCTTACAGTTGCATTTTTGATTCTTTAACCGTCTCAGTTCTCACGGCGGGAGATAATGAACAAATAGAAGAGACGAAAAAAAGTTAGCTAGTCAGTTAGTCAGTAAATAATACAGCGAGCGGGAGATTAAATCAGTCAGTCATTCCCTCTCTGTTCGGGAGATTAAATCAGTCAGTCATTCCCTCTCTGTTCGGGAGATTAAATCAGTCAGTCATTCCCTCTCTGTTCGGGAGATTAAATCAGTCAGTCATTCCCTCTCTGCTCGGGAGATTAAATCAGTCAGTCATTCCCTCTCTGTTCGGGAGATTAAATCAGTCAGTCATTCCCTCTCTGTTCGGGAGATTAAATCAGTCAGTCATTCCCTCTCTGTTCGGGAGATTAAATCAGTCAGTCATTCCCTCTCTGTTCGGGAGATTAAATCAGTCAGTCATTCCCTCTCTGTTCGGGAGATTAAATCAGTCAGTCATTCCCTCTCTGTTCGGGAGATTAAATCAGTCAGTCATTCCCTCTCTGTTCGGGAGATTAAATCAGTCAGTCATTCCCTCTCTGTTCGGGAGATTAAATCAGTCAGTCATTCCCTCTCTGTTCGGGAGATTAAATCAGTCAGTCATTCCCTTTCTGTTCGGGAGATTAAATCAGTCAGTCATTCCATCTCTGTTCGGGAGATTAAATCAGTCAGTCATTCCCTCTCTGTTCGGGAGATTAAATCAGTCAGTCATTCCCTCTCTGTTCGGGAGATTAAATCAGTCAGTCATTCCATATCTGTTCGGGAGATTAAATCAGTCAGTCATTCCCTCTCTGTTCGGGAGATTAAATTAGTCAGTCATTCCCTCTCTGTTCGGGAGATTAAATCAGTCAGTCATTCCCTCTCTGTTCGGGAGATTAAATCAGTCAGTCATTCCCTCTCTGTTCGGGAGATTAAATCAGTCAGTCATTCCCTCTCTGTTCGGGAGATTAAATCAGTCAGTCATTCCCTCTCTGTTCGGGAGATTAAATCAGTCAGTCATTCCTTCTCTGTTCGGGAGATTAAATCAGTCAGTCATTCCCTCTCTGTTCGGGAGATTAAATCAGACAGTCATTCCCTCTCTGTTCAGGAGATTAAATCAGTCAGTCATTCCCTCTCTGTTCGGGAGATTAAATCAGTCAGTCATTCCCTCTCTGTTCGGGAGATTAAATCAGTCAGTCATTCCCTCTCTGTTCGGGAGATTAAATCAGTCAGTCATTCCCTCTCTGTTCGGGAGATTAAATCAGTCAGTCATTCCCTCTCTGTTCGGGAGATTAAATCAGTCAGTCATTCCCTCTCTGTTCGGGAGATTAAATCAGTCAGTCATTCCCTTTCTGTTCGGGAGATTAAATCAGTCAGTCATTCCATCTCTGTTCGGGAGATTAAATCAGTCAGTCATTCCCTCTCTGTTCGGGAGATTAAATCAGTCAGTCATTCCCTCTCTGTTCGGGAGATTAAATCAGTCAGTCATTCCCTCTCTGTTCGGGAGATTAAATCAGTCAGTCATTCCATATCTGTTCGGGAGATTAAATCAGTCAGTCATTCCCTCTCTGTTCGGGAGATTAAATTAGTCAGTCATTCCCTCTCTGTTCGGGAGATTAAATCAGTCAGTCATTCCCTCTCTGTTCGGGAGATTAAATCAGTCAGTCATTCCCTCTCTGTTCGGGAGATTAAATCAGTCAGTCATTCCCTCTCTGTTCGGGAGATTAAATCAGTCAGTCATTCCCTTTCTGTTC